AATACTTAGTATTTGTGATTCGAAACTACACTCCCCTAATGCATTGATATATTTGAAGATTTAGCCCTCACAAATACTCTGTCCGTTCTCCATTCATACCTTAATATCGATGTGTGTGAAAAGTGGAGTGAGCTCCTTTAATTTCCACGACAACCCCTGGAACTAAATATAAGACAGATGATGATAAAGAGCCTATGATATCATCAGATAAAATACTTGAATTCAATGATTACTTGTTTTGAACGACGAAATTACTCGTTGTAAGGGAACTCAACAAACTGATTTAGATTGGATATGGCCTACCACAAAAAAAATTTCAGTAGTTTGTGGAACTAATATGAATAATCCAAGAGACAAAAATAGAAACAACAACTTATTTAGAGCGCAGTAAAAGTAAAGTAAGTAGTGGTATAGAAACAAAATAAAAACGGTTTGTATCAAAAGATTTTATTGAACACAGTCTAACACAGGCTAAATAAAATATTATTGAAGTATAACTCCTACACAATCAGGCAACATTGATTCCCAACGTCGAGTCATACCCCGTTAGGTAAAATAAATTTAATTAACTGTGAGTAAGGAAGGTAAACGTTTTGATCTCGTGAGAGCAGTATATTTCTGAGCATTTCATCTTGGAATAGCCTCATAAGAAACATCTTACTTACTTACGCCTGTTACTCCCATTGGAGCATAGGCCACAGACCAGCATTCTCCAACCCACTCTGTCCTGGGCCTTCTTTTCTAGTTCCATCCAATTCTTGTTCATTTTTCTCATGTCTATCTCCATTTCCCGGCGTAATGTGTTCTTTGAACTTACTCTCCTCCTTTGGCCTTGAAGATTTCATGTGAGGGCTTGTCTTGTGACGCAGTTTGGTGCTTTCCTCAATGTGTGTCCTATAAACTCCCAGCGCCTCTTCCTGATTTCTTCTACCGCTGGGATCTGGTTTGTTCTTTCCCACAGCTGGTTGTTGCTAATTGTGTCCGGCCAACGGATCCGAAGTATTTTGCGTAGACAACTGTTAATAAACACCTGTATCTTCTGGATGATGGCTTTCGTAGTTCTCCAGCTTTCTGCCCCATACAGTAGAACTGTCTTGGCATTTGTATTGAAAATCCTGACCTTGGTGTTGTTGACAGTTGCTTTGAGTTCCAGATATTCCTCAGTTGTAAATATGCTGCTCTTGCTTTGCCGATCCGCGCCTTCACATCTGCATCAGATCCACCCTGTTCGTCAATGATGCTGCCCAAATATGTAAAGGTTTTTACATCTTCCAAATCTTCTCCGTCAATTGTGATTGGATTGGTGCATTCTGTGTTGTATCGGAGAATCCTACTTTTCCCTTTGTGTATATTGAGACCTATTGCTGCTGAGGCTGCTGCCACACTCTTCGTCTTTTCCTGCATTTGTTGTTGCGTTTGGGATAGAAGGGCCAGATCATCTGCGAAGTCTAGATCATCCAACTGCATCTTAAATGTCCATTGTTTCCCGTGCTTCTCTTCAGATGTTGACGTCTTCATGATCCAGTCGATCACCAGGAGAAAGAGAAAGGGTGAGAGTAAGAAACCTTGCCTAACATCGGTCTTTACTTCGAACGACTTTGTCAACTGTCCTCCATTCACGATTTTGCAGTGTAATCCATCATATGAATTCTGTATGATATTGACTATCTTCTGGGGCACGCCGTAAGGTCGAAGAAGTTTCCATAGTGTTGTTCTGTCCACGCTGTCAAATGCCTTTTCGTAGTCAATGAAGTTGATGTAGAGTGATGAATTCCATTCAATTGATTGTTCCACAATGATCCGTAGAGTTGCGATTTGGTCTGTACACGATCTATCCTTACGGAATCCTGCCTGTTGGTCTCGAAGTTGGGCGTCTACACAGTCCTTCATCCTGTTTAACAATACCCTGTTGAAGACTTTTCCCGGTATTGAGAGAAGAGTGATGCCCCTGTAGTTACCACACTTGCTGAGATCGCCTTTCTTCGGTATTTTGATCAGAATCCCTTCTTTCCAGTCTGTTGGTACTTGTTCCTCATCCCAAATCTTATTGAAGAGAATGTGGAGTATCCTCGCAGTTGCCGCTACGCCTGCTTTTAGTGCCTCTGCTGGAATGTTGTCTGGTCCTGCTACTTTGCTACTCTTGATTTGCCTGATGGCCATGCTGATTTCTTCAATTGTTGGTGGGCCAACATCGATTGGGAGGTCCGTGAGTGCTGCTTCGATGTTGGGTGGGTTCAGTGGGGCTGGTCGATTCAAGGGTTCATTGAAGTGTCCTACCCACCTGTTTTGTTGCTCTTCAATGTTGGTGATTACCTTGCCTTCCTTGCTTTTCACTGGTCGTTATGGTTTGCGGCGATTTCCAGAGAGTTTCTTTGTTATGTCATACAGTTGTCTCATGTTCCCTTCTCTTGCAGCCTTTTCCGCCGTCGTTGCTAAATCTTCCACATATTTACGTTTGTCGGTTCTAATGCTCCTCTTCACCTGTTTGTTTATTTCCGTGTATTCAGCTTGTGCCTTGGCTTTTTCTGCTCTTGTTCGGCTGGTGTTGATCGCTGCCTTCTTGTTCCTCCTTCTTAGAATCTTATCCAGTGTACCAACAGTGATCCATTTCTTGTGATGGTGCTTCTTGTGACCCAGGACCTCATGACATGTTGAAGTGATTGCCTCTTTGATCCCCTTCCAGTTGCTCTCCACAGTAGTTCCTTCTCCATTGAATAGATCATGAAAGGCCTGGAACTTGTTGCTGAGGACTATCTTGAATTCGTTGAGTTTGTCAGTATCTCGAAGAAAGGCCATACTAAACTTTTGTGATATTGTCCGCCCCATTGTCTAGTGCTTCTTGAGTTTCAATTTCATCTTGGCGACCAGCAAGTGATGATCTGATGCTATATCAGCTCCTCTCTTGGTTCTCACATCCTCTATAGTCCTCCTGAACGTTTTGTTGATGCAAATATGGTCAATTTGGCTTTGCATGGTGTGATCCGGTGAAGTCCATGTGGTTTTGTGTATGCGTTTATGTGAGAATATGGTGCCGTCTATGATCAGTTTATTGAGGGCACATAGGTTTGCAAATCTCTCACCATTTTCGTTTCTTTCTCCTAGTCCGTGTCGTCCCATGATGTCTTCATATCCAGTGTTGTCCGTTCCAACCTTGGCGTTGAAATCTTTCATCAGAATAGTCAGGTCCTTTGTTGGGCACTTCTCGACTATTGACTGCAGCCTATTGTAGAATTGATCTTTAGCGTCTTCATTGTAGTCGTTGGTAGGCGCATAGCATTGGATGATGTTCATTGAAATGCCCTCTTTCTTTGTTTTAAACGAGGCTTTGATGATCCTTGGTCCATGAGATTCCCATCCTATAAGTGCATTTTGCGCTTGTTTGGACAGCATCAATGCAACTCCTTGTGTATGTGGAGCATTTTCTTCATCATGGCCGGAGTATAACAGAAGTTCCCCTGAAGCTAGTCGTTGTTGTCCAACTTGCGTCCAATGTGTTTCACTGATCCCAAGTACCTCTAGGTTGTATCTTCTCATTTCTGCAGCCATCTGGAAGGCTCTTCCGGTGTCCCACATTGTACGAACATTCCATGTACCTAAATAAATGGTCGCTCTGGTTGTCAGAAGGGGCATCGGCCTCGTAACTTCCGAAGGAATTCGGCTTTCATCATGAGGCGTCATAATTCTTCTACATGAAGACCTTCTGACTCCCGGGGCAGAGTTTAAAAGGTTTGAATCAGTCAGTCAGTAACAATGTAGAACTTCGTACGTACGTACATCAGTTTGAGTTGCCACACCACATTAGCACAGAGATGCAGTGGTCGATCCAAATCCCGTAGTGGTAGAGGTAATAAGAGTATAAGCAGTAATCAGGAAAATTAGTGTTTGGAGATGTTATTTAAAGACTATAATACAGTGAAATAAATTTGGGAAGAGAAAAAAAGAGACAAGGAGGAATAAGGAGATCAAAATTTAGCGAGTTAGTTTTCTACGGGATGGGGACGCTAACCCAAACTTCCTCCTTTATCCGGGCTTGGGGTCGAAAGTAGCCCCCGGAGGGACTTCAGGCAGAGTTAAGAAACATCTTGCATAAGTAAAAATCTTCTGTACATCACTCATATTTTTGAGGACTGCATTGGTGCGACTGAATGGGTGAGAAGATTAGGGTATGCAATAACGAACAAAACTCTCGATGGACCACAAATATTGAGGTGACGATGGTCAACGAACTGCCGACAAGTTTCTTCGTTAAAATAACTATTTCTAAGTTAATTCATTAGTTTCAGTATTTATCGTTACTTTGCGTTCTGTGGTGCCGTTTTAATAATTACTTTTACTGGAAAATCTTTAGAAGATCAAAACTAGCTTATCATGGCACCAAACTAAGAACTATAAAAAAATCCATGAAAAAGCTAACTGGTTTTTTCATTGTGGATGTATTTTTAAAAAATTGTAGTGAGAACAAGAATATCAAATAATAATTGATAGACTCCATGATTATTTGCATAATTATGTGATGTTCTTCATATTTCTGGGAACGATCATATTCAGCCGTAAAACTAGTTTTCTTTTATTGGTTTGTTTCAATGAACTTTATGGTTCAGCGCTCACTCAACTGTTTTTGTTGTTAATACATTTATTGTTAAGATGGCAACTCTTGTTGATGCAATACAGAGGAAACAGGAAAAGTTGACAGAAAGTCACATTTTAGTTGGCCACATCCAAAAGACATGTAATCGTGACGGATCGAATATTCTATTTCCTACTCGGACATTAACAATGGACTCTCAAGATATAAAGAGCATTGGTTGCAAGGATGAATTGCTAAAAGCAGCTGAACATGTTAGGGAGTTAGATTTGGCTTGTAATCGGCTGTCTTCATTTGAAGAGGTGTGTGTTTCTATTCGCTGAATAATTATAGTTTGGTATCCAGCCAAAGTTTAGACGGTTTTTTCATTGATACGTCCAAATTTCAATAAATAATAGTGGCTTTATCGTATTAATCGAGGCGCTGGTTGTGTATGTATAATCCTATCCGGTTTCCAGAAAGCTTCTTGTCTTGAAATGTATTAGGCTTACAGTTATGGGGCTCATCTGTCATAAACCTGTGTGTTGACTGTTGTAACAGTTTTCTTAATTTGTGTGTTGTAATAAAAACGTAAGACGAACCACCTCAATAGGACAAAACAGTAACTATAACTGGAGTGGGGAGTTATTATTATTAAATAATGCTAGAAAAGTTAACTCAGATGATATAAGATACTTTACCGGTATTACATCATAAAATAGTTCCCTTTGAGCTGATCCCAAAGATTTTGAGCCTAATTAATTATGGTCAGCATCAATAATGTTGTTTGGTGGTATCGTGTTTGAAAACTATCATGCACGGCTCGCATTATCTGTCAGCGATTTCTACTAAAACTATGTAGTCTGCATCAGTCCTATAAGTCCATTTCAAAAGTAGTTCGTTCAGCACAACCTATTTGGTTTCTTTGTTGGAACAGTCATCTTATAGAATATCAGTGGGATTACAGGGAAACCTAACTATTGGCAGAACTACGAAACTATTGCGATTACCTAAATTGGTTGTGAGCATTTTAAAATCAGTAAGCGCGATTTATAATGATCTGTTATACTTAGTATTAATAATGATTATACCGTACTCTGAACAGAGATTTATCTCATGTATTTTTAGACTTAATGGAGAAGATCAGTATGTGTTTATTCCGGTCTCTGACCTCAATGTGAAATGCAATCATACAGGATAGTAAATATTTATTTTGGCTTTTTCTGCTACATAGTATTATAAGTTCGTTTGAAGCAGAGGTTAATATTACTGACTGATCACAAGCTAATGTTTGTTGCATTTGGTTTCAAAGCCAGCTTGCAAAAACTCACAGCAAATCGATCTCAAAGGTAGGCACTAATTGTAAGTTTGGGGTTGAATATCTCTTCATTGAAGTTTTTAGAGGGTAGATATACTGTCTGAACTGATAAACATCTAACTCAACGCAAAAATCACTTGTTTCTAATTTTTTACTAAATACTATGGAGTTTGTCTTTTAATAATAAGGAAATGACCGGATGTTTCACTTAATCTAGCTTTAAGGTTGCAGACCAACTGTTCGCTGTTTAGATAATTATTATTTAACTAATTAACTCACTCAGCTTCTTATTAATTAGTAAATATATGGCAGCACTGTAGTACGAAAGTACCCATACAATATTTGTTTTTGACTAATATTTCGTGATGTTTATATGTTGCTTGTTTTATCTTTTTAGGTATTTAAAATTCTATGTTGGCTTGAGAAACTTGAATCATTAAATTTAAGTCAAAACCCACTAGGTTGTCATATCTCTGATAACCAATCTTCCAATTCATCTTTTGATGAAGATACTATTGGTTTACTATCTACTGAAGGAGAAGAAAATATTCAACCTATGAATAGCTCTGAATTATCTATACAGGATCAAAATTATTTTTATTTTAACAAACTCTCATCTTCATCCAAGTCGAATAAAATACTTCAGTCTAAACATAATGAAATTGATTTCTCACCAATTTTTCACAATGAATCCATGAATGATTCAATAGAAAAAATTAAGTCGACTAACCATCCAAATGATGGTGTTGGTAGTAATGATAATCTCAAACAAACAAGAGGAAATGAACCATCTAACATGAAAACGCTACCAAAGGTAAGTGTTCTACCAAACATAAACCGTTAGACGGAATTTTTTCATTTATATACTGAATTGGTTAGTTATGGAGATCAGTTCAATTTTGAGACGACTTTCTTCATTGATTAATCTCAATTGGGGAATTTTTGAAGCCAACTAGCTCTGGATAGTCATCCCCTTCAATTTTTAGACTCCTCAAAAGTGTATATTTACAGTCCCGACAGGAATCATATCGTTTAGGAAATTGAGTCGTGATCAAATGTTTTAAATTTCAAAATTTATTTTCAAACTAGAACAAAACATTTGTCCAGCGTCTTTTGGTTTTCGATCATTACCCAGTTGAGATTGACCCGTGATGAAAATTAATTCGGAATCATTTATTTATTCGTTCAGCTATCGTAATGTTTATTCGATGGGCTTGATCCGTCTGAAGATAATTTCCATATTATTTTGGTACTGAATCAAGAACATCGATAACAAGTTCTTCCGATACATTTGAATAATTTACTGAGACAATCCCAATCAGGACTGTTATAAAATTAGAACTCAGTATGCATGTCAACAAGTCACTGTGTTTGATCATATTACTCGAACTGTTTTGTAATGGTATATTACGCAGTGCTGACAAACTTCTAAAACCTTTTAAAACGAATGCTTCAATCATTCAAATCAAGCACAGTGTCTATCATAAAAAAAGCTGGAAAATCTGATTCCGGTTCCCGAAAACAGTTGCAGGTATTACGTACGAGTGAAAAATCTCAAAGCAACTGTATAGTTTCGCTCTAGACTTTAGTATCGTTTAAAGTAAAATCATTTCAGAATCGGGATCTCCTTGTGAATTAGTATATTTCATATTAGGCTTGAAATTCGTTTCTGCGTTAATGCATAATTGTGAAACAACCTGGTCTATCATCATAGAGTATAGATAAGATAACAGTGTCCAAACATACGTTTCTTCTAATTATTGCTAGAGTATGAGAGAAATATCACTTAAGAAATGGTTTTACTTGCTGTAGGATACTAAGTTAAGGTGGCGTGTTATTGAAACCTTAGACTTGGAACGGTCGGAAGATGTTGTCCCTATGCTCAACCACCTACTTCTGAATACTGTGATAGTCAGCATAGAAAGTTGTAGGATTCCTTGATGGAGTTTTCGTGATAACTGTAAACATCGGTTTGTAAACTACATTATATGGCTGGAAATCAATTGTAGGGGTGTAGATTTTATTTATTTTCTGTCTTAAGTTGAGTTTCCAGTACTATGTTCTACATTTTCGTTTCTTATGTTTTCATTTGGTCTTTTTAATTGTGGCTGCTGTTAGTGTTTTTACTTTTGTGGCAATGCCTAAACTGACGAAGTATTTGAACGTGTCGATCGCTTCACTTGAAAGTCTTATCAACCCTGGACGAATGGTGTCTGATAAAGCCTCAATTGGTGTTTATCAACTTGCATCACTAGTGACGTAGGTGAGATATTCGGTTGTCAACCAAAGGGTCGAATATACCATGCGGTAGTTCGCTCTGTTCTACTTTACGGTTGTGAAGTTTGGGTTTTAAAAATAAAGGATATTCGTACGGTACAAGTAATTTTACAACTGTACGTTTGGATTGAATTTCCCTCACCACCATCATACCCATCATATATTCTTTCACTTTAAAATGACCCAGAAATTAAATATCTTTCAAAAGTACAAGTTGACAAACAAATGAAATTATTCATAGTTAAGTTCTATCTTTATTTCAGTCAAATCGCAATGTGTTTTTTTTTTCGTGAATAAAAAGTACATTTTCTTCCTTACCCAAATATTTTCTACACTTCCTTTACGCAAAACTATTATTTTTGTTACTACTCTTCTTCTTCTTCTTCCATTCGCTTTAAATTTTTGCAAATTTTTGTATATATTTCATTCTACTCCTTATTTACAATTAATTTCCAATGCAAATATTACAACAATAATAACAACATGCATATATAAGGAAGATAATTGTATAATCAGGTGATTGGCATGATTTACTTACCCAACCGTATGACTTCATTATGCCATCATATGACCAATCAACTTGTATGCATGTGTGTGTGTGTGTTCATATATATATATATATATATATATATATATAAATCACTGTTATTGAATAGTGAAATTTCAAATGGCGGAACCTAATATTTATTTATTTCTTCTAAATAACTTCTTTGTCTCCGAGCCATTATTATATTTGTTCCTTTTTTGAAGATTGATAGAAATACTTTAAATTAGTTATATAATAATATTTTTTGCTTTTTTGATCTGATCAAAGTGTTTTTTTAATGTAAAATTGAAACTAGTTGTTTTACGAGTTCAATTTGTTTAAATATTAAGATATTATATCCATTAAAGAATAAATGAACTGATGATAAGGAGTGAAGTATTTGAACGTGTCGATCACTTCACTTGGAAGTTATAAAAGGTTGGAAGTGAATTAGGGATGGATGAATCAGGATTTATTATCGGTCTATGGAGTCATTGACTGTTGATGTGAGTCATGTTGGTAGGCGCAGATTACATCCGATTAGGATCGATGCAGTATCCTCTACGAGTAGTTGGAAAAGCTAAGTGACATGACTCGTAATTGTTCATATTGACGCAGTTGCATCCACTTTATTTTTCAAAAGCTTTTCTGGTATTCATTTTTACATACCACTACATTACTTCTCGAACCATATCCTCAATGTTTAGTCCTTCTTACAATGATTATTGCAACTGCTTTATTACTCATCTTAATTTCACATTGCTGTCCTTATATGATGCGGTAACTCGAACTTATCCACATTTGTATCAGGCTCCACATTGATTATAACTGGATAACTGTCCTACAGTTATTGTTTACTCGGAAAGTCTCTCATTAGCTTAACTTCTATGTGTATAGGAAAGTTTTGTTAAACCTAAGAAGAGTGTAAATCATATGGTAGAAAACAGCTAAAATAATTTCAAACTGGTCTAACGGACGGAATGAATGTATTTTGCAAGATTATATATATATATATATATATATATATATATATATATAACTAATCTAGGTAAACATAAAGTATACAGCCGAACGACCTCAGAGTTTTAACCGGTTTAAGTTGGTTAGGAGACGACAGAGATCATTGGATAGATTTTCTTGCTAATAATTCAGATTGTGATACGGATATTAGGATCCTGGCATTATAACTGATGTCAGTTTGTGATAGAAAGCCTAACTCTAACTCCCAATACTCAACGCCAAATCCTATCCTTATTTTGATATTTGTGTTCGGCTGTATACTTCATGTTAACTATAATCTGCTCTCTATCCTTGTCATCTGTTTAGACGCTAGGTTAGAAGGGATTCGAGGATTAATAAGTATTTAGTTGTTATCTGTTGTTCGTTGGTCACTGACCCTCCAGGCAACATGGGCGAATTAGTCGATCATCGGACTAGAGAGAGATCATGCAACTGCTGTCCTGTAATTACAGCCTGATCACACACCCCAATATAACTCAAGCATTTACTTTTTTCCGTTTATATGAGCAACAATTTGGACTAATGCACTATTGACCAAGCTTCATGATTATTGTATAATAATCTGGTAATAATTTATTTATCATATATGTATTATCATGTTACCGTCAACTTGATTTTCTTTATATACAACATTTTCCCATTAAATTTGTAGCATCCTTCAGCTCCATCTGAACTGGCTTTAAATTCCGGTATTATATCTCCTACCACAGTGTTTCCTTGTTTAAGTGTACTAGCATTGAATTCGACGTATGTACCATGGGATTGGGTGATTGATTTGCTTTATCGACTACCAAAGTGAGTTATAACAAAGGAAACTTTTGTCATGAGCAAATATTTAAGACTTCATGAGGTAATCTATTTTTAACGAAGTTATTATTATTATTAAACTATACAGCTGAAAGTATATCGTGATAGTTATAGTGGAAATATTATTTCATTTTGTGTGTGTGGGGGGGAGGTTGAGATATGCAATCTGTCATTTGAATTGATCCTATGCCTGAGTGATATTGATGTTTGCTCAACAACTCCTGCCCCAACAATCCACACAGATACAATTAAAAAACAAAATAACTGGATCGTTTTCTATGTGACGGGCTCATACATTTACTTTACTTGGAAATATACATTGTTAAAATTCATATAATCAAGAAATAGTAATGATTTGAATTATTCCATTGTGGATATTCAACACTGAATTTTCGATCAAGCTTTCTCCATGTATTGCATCGATGCAGCTATTTTATCACAAATTTTAGTAAGGCTGAATAGTAGCTAAGAGAGGAATTTAGGGCGCGTATTTAATCTTATTTGGGACTTATCTGTAGCTATCATTGTGAACATCAACAATGCTGAAATGTAACAGGTATATCCAGATGACAAGTTAAAAATAAAACAAAATATACCTCTTGAATTCGACTGTTAGCCACAATTCATCTATTTTAGAAAATGATTAAATTTCATGTAAACTACAAATAAGCGTAAAATACAGATTTTATGCTACAATGAAATTAAAAACTGTGTTATAAGGCTCATTTATTGATCACTGCTATCAATAATGTGGCTTAAATGAAATATCATTTTAATTAAGATCATAAAGTTGATCAATGTTAGATCACCATTGAAAACCTAGAAGCATTGGACTTGCGCAAAATGTTTCTTACTTGACTCAGCGCATAACTTTCAAATGATTCAGAATTGAAATATCTGTCTGTTTTAGAATTATGTACCAATTAAGTTTGATATGATCAACTTTTCTCGCACTAAGATGCATTAATAATCACTTGAGAAAGCTTCTAGTCATAGAATTGTTTTCGCTTAAGTTTACTCTCTTTATGTATATATACATGTCTTAACAGTGAATATTCGTAAAATTTATTTGTTCAGATAATCTTTCTAAAAACTAGTTTTTGGAAAGTTTAGCATCATTTTAGAGTACTAGTTGGTGAGTGGTGTGTAAAATCATTCAACATTTCACACACACTATCTAATTGATGGGTGAATTGACCGTGTATATCTAGGATGTGAGTATCGTACGTCATACTACTATATATATCACAGTGTAGATAAACATCTCTTTATACTTGGAATTTTCCACTTTACTCCGTAAACACAAAACGTTCTAACGATTTGTGTATCTTACATCATAGACTGACCTTAGACAAACATTCGAAACTAGGAAGGACTGGATAACTGTCTCATCATAGTATGGGGCTCCTTAGTAGTACAAATCCTTTATATGATGTTCCTGTGTTTTATTTTAAGTGCTAATCTTGGGTGTGTACTGCTAAGGAGTTCCATGCTAGGATGAGACAGCTGTCCAGTGCTTCCTAGTTTTCAACAGTTATTTAACCAAGTTTGGTCCGTGTTGTAAACTGCAAAATTCAATAATCTCCAGAAAATCGCCTCCTCCCCCTGTACTAATAAAAATATTTATATTTAATATCCGTATATTTTAAAATCTGTTTTCAGCCTAACCGATTTACACGTTGCACGTAATAATTATGGAGCAGAAGAGCAGACTGAAGTATCTTCTGATCATAATGATGATAATGATGCCACACCATTACCTGTATTTCCTCATCTACACAGTTTATATTATAGCGATAATGGCATATCGAATTGGTGGACAATATGTCGTTTGTGTAAACACTTCCCTGGATTGGAACAATTGATTTTATTAGGTAATCCTATTGAACATATACCATTTCCGCAAGAGAATTTACATACATCTGAGCATACTACAACAACAACTACTACTACTACTAATAGTAATAATAACAATAATAATAATACTGATAATAATACATCAATAAATACTTGTTATCAGCATCAGTGCTTATTTCAAAATGTACATACATTAGGTTTATCAGAAACACTAATCAATCAATGGGAAAGTATTGATGCTTTGAATGAATGGATGCCTAGTTTAACCAATTTACGATTAGGCAATACTTTACCTGTATTTCAGGTATGTTTTTTGTTGTCATTATCTGTCTGTTCGTTTACTCTTTTTTGGGAAATTATTACTTCATTAATGATTATATCTACTACGAACTAATGCTAGCTGGATAACTTTTAGACATCAAAAGATATTGAGTAGATGTCACGTTCGCCTAACGATAACTTACCTTGACGGGTGGTATTTACTGATATATATGTAAGTTGAAAGGAGTCTAAATGAGGTAAAATTAAGATGTGACATCAGTTCATAAAGTAATTGATTGTTGAAATGAGTCTTGTTGGTATATGAAGACTGGCTGGGATCTGTCCTATTATTGTGATAATCGTAAGAAATGTTGAGTGAGATGATTCGGAATCAGTCTCAATGGTGCACAGATGTATTCACTTTTCTTATTCTTTTAGATCTTAAGTTTTGGAATTTTTTATACTTTTTATTCCACGAATTCATTCCATCTCCTCGATTTATATTGTCTATGGCTAATCTAATCTACTCCTATTGATACTATTACCACTACTACTATAGTGAATGAAGATTTGGTATGGAACACCAACTTATTGTTTGATGCAAAATTATAGAGTACTTTCGTAAAATATGAAAACTATGCATTAAATACATTATTTGCACATCTTCCTTCAGTTGTCTCTTACATGCTTTATGATTCTTTCAATTCTGTTATTATTACAAATACTGTCTGTTAACATTCCTGTTCTCTTCAATTCAACCTTCTACTGGCAGACATTCCAAATTCCGATTGCTGCTACATACTACTAATATCTGTCAACATAAATAGCATACACCACATTACTACTGTGGGATTTATCTTGATTTTTTTAAAATCACTTTGCTATACTAATGTAATGTAATGACTTGAATCGATACAGATATTTGTCATGTTCCACATTGTGTTATAATTGATGAATTGACATAAGTACTATACTTCTAAATCGAGTAAATTAAACTGTACCAAGTAGCTAAATGAGTTAATCTAATTTTGTTAGCTTCTAAAAGAAAGAAAAATAAAAAAAAAACTTCTGACCAATCTGAAACAATTGTTTTGTATATTGTATTTCAAATATCCCTTATAATATGAACTTTAAATCATAAGTACAAATTAATTCTATTTTATAAATTCATTATATTATTGTTTATTATTGTGGTTACTAATGTAATAGGCTTTAATATTATTGTTAATTATTAACAATCCTTTTTTTCTTCGTTTAAAATGGGCATCAACAATGTTACATTTAATTCAAGGTCATTTCATTACCCAACATCATCTAATTAGAGAAATTCACTTGGTATTGTTTTACTTGTATCTTCCCATTGTTATTTAGAACTGCAATTGATCAGTCTCATGTTGGCATATATGCATCCTGTGCGGATTACCTCGGTATAGCCTTAAGTCACAAACTTTCTAAGTAAAGATGGATAGTGGCTAGCAGTGAAATCCAGGACGCGCGTTCCATTCTATTTATATCGAGGCAATCCTTACAGGATGCACATATGCCAACATGAGACTGATCAATTGCAGTTTTAAATAACAATGGGAGGATACAAGTAAAACAACACCAAGTGAACTTAAACTTCACCCCATTGCACAAGCAGGTGGCTATCAGGACTCAGTAGCTAAGTGTATAACGCAATGGCGTTTGAAGCGAACGGTACTGGGTTGGAGTCCCGGAGTGAAAATCAATTCTGAGATGCAGGTACATCCAGTTGACGAATCCCGGATAGGATGAAACGCTCATCCTGGATTCCACTACTATCCACTATCCATCTTCGTTTGTTTTGTTTGAAAAATACTACTACCAATTATTATTACTATTATCAATATTGAAAAGAAAAGAGAAAGTGAAAGCCCATTGGTCTATTGAAAATAATGAAGACGTTTAAATGGAGAAAATTTTCTCTTCGATAATATCATTTTTTTGAAAATGTACAATCCTATTTATAGGTAATAGATTTGACTGGGGTACCTAGCCTGTCGTATGCCCTGATGGTGTTCTCGTAACTTTCGGGTTGCCTGATCTGCCAAGGGCGATGGGACAGTGCATGATGTTATTGTTGTGTGCTAGGTTCAAAGAGAACTGTATGTTATGTTCTCGTAACTTTCGGGTTGCCTGATCTGCCAAGGGCGATGGGACAGTGCATGATGTTATTGTTGTGTGCTAGGTTCAAAGAGAACTGTATGTTATATGCATTCAAATCCGCCCCGTCATTGTTCCTATTTGCCCCCAAATGCCCTGGTACGGCCGAGAGTGGGGAGAGTCTGCTCTCCCTCTCGAAATGCTCTCACATGGCCACATGTATATAGCCTCTGCCAGGGAAGTCCTACTCATTGCCTTCTCGTGGTGGGGGTGTTTACGAAATTGTGAGGACGAAAAGCGAATGTCCGGCACTTCAACCGGGTTGGTGGACATGGAGAGTCCGCCTAAGGGAGTTGGAAAACCCTGATTCCAAATCAATGGTGCACTTGGGCTCCAATATCCTGAAGTGACAAATGGCGTTGGCCACCGGCTACCATGGGACTGCATCTCCTGACGTTTCTCCACTACCTTGTGGATCAGACCTTCAGGTCGAAGGCTACGGGTGTGACCCCCTAAGAAAACCACCTGCTTCGGTTTGGGCACCCGAGTAGTATCACTGCCCTTACACGTATCAAATGAGATTTGTGTGGCGCATATGTATTTGGTGCCTCTTTTTACCAATATCTATTTGTTAAAATAAATTAAATAATAAATAATAGATTTCAAGTATTGAACAAATATAAGTATTGCATCATTTAGAAAAGTAATCAAAAATCATCAAGAACTTACGCTATGTAATAGTTTTGGAAGCAATTAAAGGTAATAATCTATAGAATAAAAGTTAAAGATAACTGTATGCTTTATAAAGGGAGAGAAGAAGGTAATAGTTAATATTTGTAATTTGTAAAATTCAAGGGGGTGGAAAGACTTGGAGAATAAGGGATCAAATATGACTCTTCTGTACATAGAGGTCAGGTTTAAAATGGTGAATTGCTGTAGCCTCAGTTGTGTACAAACTCCCCATCCAAACCTTTTTTGAGCTAGTTCTTCTGAATCTGTACAGGATTTTGAATGACGATCCATGTGTTGTAGTGTGACCCAAGTTGATCATGTGTTCAAGAATTCAGTTGTTGATCGATTCTCATTTTTCTCTAGATAGCCATGCACGTTAGTGCTCGGATATTTGTTTACCAAGTTCACACTTTATATGGCCAATATAACCTGCTCCACAAGAGCAAGTAAACTGATAAATGCACATTAAGGTGGTCCTAAGCTGCAGTTTTTCCTCGACACTTCTCTTAAATGAGTTTCTTTCTAAAAAAAACATTTCGGAGCTCTGCTAAATAAAACGTCTTTCTCAGTAATCTCGATAGTTTATTCTTTAATATCTCAGCTACTGTATCTACCTTGAATTCAATGTTCAAGAATAAAACTTTCTTCGGGACTGTGGATGTATCTTCAACTTGATGTTTTATTTTTAGACTACTACTACAATATTGTGTTCATTCACCATTGCTTAATGCCTTATACTAACTGCTCATTAATAAACCTTTTCAAAATAGAACAAACTACCTTGATTAACCAGTTGGATTTTAGAAATTACACTTATTCATTTGCTTTTTTTGTGGAGGTAGGCACATTAGTTGTTCATGGGAATACTTTTTTCAACACATTAGTAGAGTACATTTACCAATACAGTTCAGTGAAGGATCATGGAACATTATTAAATATTATATTGCACCATATATGATTGACCATAAATATGTAACATCATACTAGCTATTCGATAGTAGTTAATGATACAAACTAGCCTATTGAAACGTATGTATATACATACACTTCATGATGTATTGAAGAAGCTTTAGATGTGCATAATCTAAAGTTTTGATATGGTTTATCTACATTATATTGTTAATTAATGAAATTCCAAATCACTTAAATGATGTCAGTTATTCCGAGATTAAGTTCCTTTTGTAAATATTTTCACTGTCTAGGTTTGATTTGTTGAAAAACCATAAATATATTCTACTGAAATAAAAGTATGGGCAGTTATCTCATGTGTACTATGTTTCTTGTTAATGTTTACAAGTGTAGAAGTAGGTTGAATGAAATTTGACTATAGTCAAGCTAAAATGTGACATCAGCTCACAAGGTCATTGACTGTTAAGTTGAGTTATGCAAGTGGGTACAAACTATCTAGCTGGAATTCTCTCGATTATCATAACCAATGATTTTGAATACGTTAGGAAATAATGGCTTAGAATAGGTCAAAATAGCACAAATACATATACTTTAGATTTTGAGCTCTAATATACCTTCATGTATACCCAACGTTTAATCTTATTATTCATTTCTATCTCTTTTCCAATATTCACTTTGTTGTTTTCAACTCATTGTGCTAACGTGGTAGAGAAAGTGTTATATCCTAACGAAAAATAAAGGAATAATAACTGCTAGGAATTCTTCATGGATTATTATTACTTATATTGTTATGAGATAATTATTAAACAACTAGAATATACATATTTTCCTATTCCATTTATTATAAGCTTTTATATGACCTATTGACTACTATTATACGATTTACTATTCTTAACTTATTCCATACTTATTAGTTACAGTCTCCTATACTTAAACGCAATTTGGGGTTTAGTTTATCTAATAATTATTTTTAATTTTATGGTGGGATGCGGTCTGGTTTACTTGTATATAAGTCACGTATGTCTGAAATAGACGACTTAAACAGTAGAGGCTTAGATTGCATTCTGGACCGAATGAGTTGGATTAGGCCAGAAGTTGCTATACAGAAGACCAATAAGTCCTGAGAGTTGACTCAAGGCTGCTCGTACTGGTTAACGCATGATTGGTTTAGTACATGGACAAGGTTATAGAAGTTGGTGTTCTGAACAACGATTTTGTCACCTGATATTTGACGGGTCATAGGACATAATAGGAAGTTTGGCCAATGTACATTTTGTTTTAGACTGCATTAATTATAATTAACTAATTGTGTAAGAAATATTTCCATCAACACTTTTTAAATGTTAGAATTTATCTCAAAATCCTTTTTGTTTGAAGTTTTCTTTACAAAATAATTATATATACATTATGTCTATATATATCTATATATTTTCAGTCTTGGATAGAACCTGATTGTCGAGCTCATGTAATTGCCAGATTACCAAAACTTACTACATACAATCGAAGTGTCATTGATTCAGAGGAACGTGAAAGTGCTGAACGAGAATTTGTTCGATATTATGGTCAAATTGATCCAGATAAACGTCCTAATCGGTTAGTTATAAAAAGTTGAAAATTAACTCTTATAAGTTAATTAATAAAATTTTATAAGAATCAGATTAATTTATAGATTGTATTTGTCACAAATAGGGTAACATTAAAAATTTAAAAGCACTGAACAACTAATTCTACATAATATAAGACTAATTACAATTGATTGATCACTGGGTGGTGATCAATGTCATGCTTGTCTAGTCCTTATTAGTGCAGATCGAATGCTATTGATCATGTTGCAATGTGGCCACCAGTCTAGGTGACTCGACAGGGAGCACCAGTTCCCTCAAGATTACAGGTACATCTTGCTGACGAGTGCCAAGTAGCACGAAATCCGGGTCCAGGGTTTCCTGTTGACTATCTCCAACCACCATCTAATAAGACTAATTATCAGAGTTCACATTTTTGAAAAGTTTTATATTCGCATTGAAACAATTATTAAATCCTGTTTGATTTTCAATGGTACTCCAATTCAGATTAATATGTGATCGTTTCAACTTAGGAAATATGACGAAGGCTTTTAAAAGTTTAGATATTTATTGTATACTAACATCAAAAAGTATTTATATTCTGTTATAGTTTTGGATGTCATTAGTAATAGGGCGAGACTCTAATTTATGGACGACCTTTGAACGAATTTTAAATGACCTTGAGAAATATTAGCCAATCAGCAAACAGTCAGTGTAGAGTAAAAATATATTATAAAAAGACAAGGAAATAAAGTGGATACACTTCTTATACGTGGTTCAAAAACTTTTCTAGGTTAGAAAGAGGTTCAGAAGTTCTAAAATCGTAATGCTTGCAGTAGAAGAAATCATCCATACGGCTACAGAATAGTCGGCCTCTAGAGCCATGATTAAGTCTCAAAAACTCTTTCAGCCTCGATCACATAGCTTGAATATTGTTTATGTTCACTCCGGTTGTTGAATGCACAAAACGCTACTTGTGGATAATGACACGACGCACATAACCAATCCTATGTAGTAGTCTGTACGCTCTCCAATCATCTGTATATATTGTAGTACCTGGCTGCTGCCAGTGTTACTGGTGCTTTTATTATCCAGTTCGCAATAATTGTCGTAATTCGCCTTAGTCAAGAATTATGTATGGGGTTTTCATCACGAACTGACATCAGCTATAATGCCAAAAATTTATTTAGCCAAGTGCATGAAAGGCTTTCGCGTTAAAATCCGAGATCTATTATCTTAAACCGGATTGATTCGTCCACAAATTATAATCTCGCCATCTTATTTGATATAACCGCTCAATTATCACGTTTCATACAAAATTCCCTGTGAACCGATCGTGCGTTAGCATTAAGCACTGAAGTTGGCGCCGTAACCTTGAAATGCCTAAAACGCTTCGGATTGGCTCGTCCATGAATTAGAGTCTCGCCGTAGGATGTTCACATGACTGATATAGTCGTGAAAAATTTTACTTTTTAGAATTTCTCTTAATTAGAATAAGAAATCAACTGTGGTAGTAGTTTGTTATATTCTACCGTAGTTCAAATGTTCAACTGATAATGTGTACCTACAATAAACGTGCCTGAACCAGCTTCTTGAGTATGAAAATCAAGAGTGAATGAACAACTTTTATTGATCAACTGAATCCAAGTATATGCATAAACTTATTCGTAAACATAAATCTGTTCCTTCAAAAAGTAACCAATAACATACACTTATTAGTATTTCTCAATCACCATTTAACCTTGATCTGATATGTATGATTAGCCAAGTGTATCATAGTCACAAGTACTTTTCATTATTTCAATTGTCAATTGAAGCTAGACCATCATAGAAAACCTGGAAGCACTGGATGGCCATTTCGTCCTATTGCAGGACTCCTCAGCAGTGCGCACCCACGATCCAGCCTCGCAGGATTCGAGACCAGTAGGTCTTCAATAGTGACTGAAGATAGGTCCTGGGTTCGAATCTCGCTAGTCGGGATCGTAAATGTGCACTGATGAGGAGTCCCACAATAGGACTGCGAGTGAAAAGGAAGCTTTATTGGGTAAACCAGACAGATAGATATATACCAGAAAAAAAATATATATATATATCCTTTAGAAATCTATGCCACACATTCAACCAATGGCGTATATCTCACTCTTTAGAAAAGGAAACCGAATCTTAGCTAATAGCGTGTATCTATCAGTTAACTTACATCTGATTGATGAAACCGTATCAAAATGGCAGGTCGATTGATGGTGTAAATCTTCATCGATTAAATTAATGTTGGGACATGTATTATACATGCCCAACAGTTACTCACATTGGTATTAGGAGTAAATTAAAAATAAACTAAGGTTTGACACATTCAAGACATAATATTAATCCATGAAATCATTGACTAGTGATTTCATTCATATTGCCAGGTACAAACTTTTCGATTAGACTCCATCTGATGAATGTGGTCAGTTGTGTTCTTAAACTCTTGGTGACATAACACAAAGTCGATTATTAATTTGACACAACTTTCATATAATTTATTTCCTCTTTTCTAACTAATATTTCATACGCCTAGCATTGTTTTTATTTTGTACTATCATAAATATTACTGTTACTGATTTACTACATAAATCTTTTTAGTTTATTTTTTCTGTTCTAATTTGGTTTGGCGAATTAGGCTAATACACCTTTAGATAACTAATTCACTGAGTGAGAATTCTTAACTTATTATGTAAAATATCAACGACCAATAACTTTCGTATACTTCCTATAATAATAATCATGTTCATTCACCAATAACTAATTTCCAAGAAGAATTCCCGGTGTTCTAGTGAGGAGCGGTAACTAGTGGAGTTCAACTATATCGAGTGAGTGAGGCAGTTACTCACCGCAGAGAATGAGAGATGGTCTCACAATATCCCGGGTTAATCGAAATTAGATATGTAAACAGCAGGATCCCAACTCAATGGTCTTAAGTTTAAACGCTGTTCATGAAACTCGGAAGACCTAGGTTCGATCCCCTAACGGGTCGGGAATGCACATTGCTGAGGAGTCCCGTGTTAGGATGAAACAACCTTAAGTAGTTGTCTAATTAACATCAACCCATCATGTAAGCGATAAAATTCATCGATCTCTACAAATCGTCTATAGTATATCTTTAAAAAAGTTATTCATTGAAAAAATGTATAACTTCATTCACACTAAAGAATTAATTTAACTACCCAACTTAAATTTTTCTCATTGTTTTCCTTCATTCTATTGTCTTCTCCTTTGTGAATAATTTATATGTAGTTGATTTAATGATTAATTTAATTTTTCCATAATCTATAACTTAATTTTAGTTATTGGGCTCTAGAACGTCGACATGGTCGACTTCAACCATTAGCTAATATTGATTTATCTCCAAAACAGCATATTCGTGTACGTGTCACAATGTCAGGGAAAGAAGTAAGTATGATTGGGTTATTATCTATTTATTGATAATTTTTTTTCAAGTGTTTTTGTGGCAAAAATCACAAGATCCATCAATTGGTCTCATGTTTTTATTATTATCGGGTAGTTTAAGTCTTCATCGAATGATACCAAGAGATGATCTATGTTAATCTTTATATTTTATAGTACTGTGAAATATCTAATTTTACTTTGAATATATCAACACAAGGAACATATCGAATTCCAATGATTTATGACTCAATATAGCACTACAGACGTAAACGGTTTGACCTCGAGTTTCAAACTTCCTGACAATTTTCTCTCACATGATCGGTTTCAGGTGTAGAAGAAAATGATAAGGCATGAACAATTTCAAAATTATTAGGAACTAACAATTTTTTGGGAATAATTTCTTTATGATTGTCACAAATTAAAAGTAATTGAAAAAGCATTTAAAATTACCCAATGAACATTGAGAACAATTGATATCAGTTGATCCACTGAATATTAACTAAAGTCATGTTTGTCTAATCCTTTTTAATGTATTGATTGAATTCTATCGATGAAGTTACAATGTGGCTACTAGTAATTAAGTAACTTGATATCGTGTGCACTATGTTTTGATCCTAAGTAGTTGGAAGTTGTTAGGAAACCCTGAACGTAAGTTTCGTGCTAACTAGCATTTATCAGCAAGGTTTACTATACATTCTTGAAGCAATTAATTTCCTACCTGTGGGATTCGAGCATGCATCATAGTTTATTATGTTACCACTGTGCCAGCCATCCGACCACCTTTATGACTAAGTTAGTTCTACTGATTAATCACTGAGTAGTACTCACTGTAATGTTTTTGTAGTAGTCGGTGTTAACACTGTACAGTGAAGCGTATTCATTTGTGTAATATCAGCACCCTTTGCCTAAAAAGTGCGGCTCAAAACCGAGTTCACTAACTTGCTGTTGATAAATGATGTGCATAATCAATAAGGTAATTATTTAGTCTATCTATTTATCTCATTTATCAGATACGGAGTTGTGTACCTAATGTTGTAAAATGTGACTTTTAGAAGTAAAGAATACTTACGGGTTACCAATATTCGATCATAGGTGTCTTCAAAACATTCTCGTGTATTTTGGAACCAATGAGTAAGCAATGTCTGGGTTAGAGATAAGTTATTAGGTAAGGATAGCAAATCAATTGGTGAAGTAGTAAATCCTCATCAGTTGAGGTGGTTGAGACATGTGCAACCACCATCTACCTTGACGGACGATGTTATCTGGTGTAGAAGTAGGTCTTAAGAATAATAGGGGCGGCCAAACCCAAGTGGGTGGAGTGGTGTTTGAACCTATGATCTAGTATCCAAAAGTTGAGTGCATTAATCACTGAACCACTACTCCTTATATGACTGTTCCACACCACATGACCATTGCACCATACACAATGTTGGTCAAATCTTAACAGAATACCTTCAAAGAGGGGCTCAATATCATCGTTTTTCATATCTGAACTAGCAGTCAGTCAAACATGTAACCTCTATTCATCTACATTTTTGTGTACAATTTTTATAATAAAAAAAATCCTGAATAAAACCAAGTTTTTCTTTTCATTGTTGTAAATGTACACTGTCGAGGAGTAATACCCTTCTAAAACGAAATAACTATCCAATACTTTCTAATTCTCAATAGTTGTCTAACTAAGATCAGTTCATAATTTGAAATTAGACAAATTCTACAATCTTCATAATATTCCCCTTTATTATTATTATTATTATTATTATTATTAATAAAGGTTGTTTCCATCTTATACATCTATCAATTATGTTTAGTTTTACATGCAAAATTAGAATGATTTGCCTATTTTTCTATTTCGATGTCTTTTTTTCGCGCTACAAAAAAATTTTTTTTAAAAAAAAACATTTGATTGGTTGATTGCAACTTCAAGGTCAACCTCATCATATGTTTATTATTATTATTATTATCCTATCCATCAGATCACGTGAAAAACCTAAAAAAAAATACTTTTAATCAACTAAATGTGATTAATGATCAAGTTTATTTTTATTTTGACCTTAACCTATTTCTTCTTTATTTCAATTTGAAATTTGATCGGACAGAAAAGTTTATATCATGAATTAATTGTAGCTAGAAAATGATTCAAAATTAAAATGTATTTCGTTTTAAGTTATGTTAAAGTGATTTAGATCGGATTAAAGCATATTCCTTACAGGGATTGTGTTAGGTCACGTTGTTTAGCTATCCTCCTAACCAATTAGCGCTGGCGGTAACTTGAAGAACAACACTCTAGAACTTTCTTATGTAAAAATTATAAATATGCTAACATTTTTTTTCTTATTGTAATTCCTACTTCTATCCAACTCTTTTATTTGGAATATAATGACATTCCTGTTAAACTGTGTTGTGATTTGGGAACTTATCGAGTAAAGTAGCATCCAATAATACAAAGTAATAGGAATAGCTGGATTATAACAGTATGGGACTCTTTATCAATACATATATATATATATATATATGACCCTATCATATATGATCGAAAGTAGGAGCTTTGGTCTTGTATGCAAGCGCCAAATGAATCTCGAGTAGGAAAAATTGTGACTGGAGGAGTTGAATTATGTCAAGGTATAGCTAAACCAGTTATTATTATTGATAATAATGGATGATAGTTATGCTACTACTTGGTGAATTGATCAGAAATTGAAAATATGAATCTCATTACGCTTCAACTTGATGGTTTAAAAGTAGTAACTTATTTGTTGTACAACCTGAGTTGTGGGTATTAGGTTTTATTCCTGGCGAGTTAGTGAGCATGAGATACTAAAGAGTCCTTAACACGAAATAGGTGTTCAGTTTCCCCCTGGTTTCAACAGTTCCCTCAGCTAACGTTGTCAGTTCATCGTACCAACATTTACATTAAACTAATCTTGACACCCTGTTCTAATAAATAATCTCATAGGTTAAGTTTGTTATGTAAACCATAAATCTCGACAATCTTTGCAAATCCCTTACATGCTAATAATAGTCATGTGCTTGCTAGTGACTTATTTCGAGAGATAATTCCAGGATTTCTTGTGAGATGAGATCAGTAGACTTTAACTCTGTAGGGTGATAAGAAGATGCCCACTTATGGACGTTGGATCATGGTTGCGTTATGTCGTCAATTAAATGAAGTTAGATAATACAAACCTGTTCTTCGGTTCGTCCATCCGTCGAGGTTGTAGATGCTCACTGCTGAGGAATCCCATTCTGATACGAAACAGTTATTTAGTGCTTCTTGGTTTCCAGTGGTTATCTAATATCAGTTCATTATCCAAACTGCAAAATATCACAAGTGTTCTTTCTGTCGTCTAAAGGAGACTCGCTATGAACTAGTGGTCTGACTAATACAATAAATTGAGAACTCACTGAAGTTAGAAAATTTGGTATGGTTCAGAACTAGTATTAAAACAAGGTTCACATACGTTGCACAGTCGATAAATATTCAGACATACTAGGCAGTTAGTTATTTTATTTCATTCTGAAGCTTCATTAATTACGGATAATGCTATGGAAGGTCACCCTTAAGATTATTAAAAACTATTTAATCTGATCAATTTTTAATAGCACCAATCATTTTTTATGATTATAATATGATTAATTGTTACAAGTTTCAAGGAGAACTCAAATGTATTTTTCTTAACTAGTGCACATATGTTCCAAGTTTCAAATTCCTTATAATGACTAACTAAACCTTTTTAGAATCAACCAATTGGTGTTCTCTTTTTAATGTAAGACACTTGAAATCATATTATATTTCTCGTTAGTTGTTTTGGTAAATATTTGTCATCAAAATTCAACCGTCTGATCCTTATCAGGATACATGACTATTGTGGAGTTAATCTAATAAACACTATCATTTAACTCATATTGAAAAACGTCATGGTAGTCAATTATCATTTACGTAGAGCCTAAGGCAGATACCTGTTCGACTCATTTGCCATACCATATTAGCTCGATATAATGAAGTTAAAAAGATGTATATTAAAAGAGATCAAATTAATTTAGTAGCGATGACAGTAAAAAGGTCTAAATATTGAGAATAGAATTTGGAAAGGCTGATTGGAAAGGATTACATAAATAAATTCAAAATCGAGACAAAGATAAGGAATGAATGCATCCACGCCACTGTAGACAATTCTGAGCCATGTCATCCATTCTTCAACCACTGATCGTGATTATCACACGGAGCCCAACCAGGTAATCCTCACATGCCAACATAGAACAAATTAACAGTCAATAACTTTATGGATTAATGTTATGTATTGGTTTACCCACTCGAAGTTTCTTTTCCAACCGACGACTACACCATGAAACTTTTCACTATCAAGGCGAGGGATGATTAGAGATATGTAACTTATGTCCTGACTCTAACCTTACTTAGCGAAAATTTATAATCCCATCAATCGATTTGGTACTTTTCCCTAGTAACTCTATGCTTAACCTTAAGATTACTCACTCCGGTCATTCCTCAGAACGTGAGCAATACTTGAAAGACGTCTATGATCTAAAACCTGTAACGTATACATATCACGATAGCATGTGGGGATAATGTCTATGAGATCACTTTTGACATTTCACAAACTAAATTTTAAATTTATTGGAGTTCACAATCTCCCGTTATTGATATTTCAAATTGTATTTAATCAATTCCTGCTTACATACGGGTAATATCAATTTATCCGGTAGCCAACAATGATTGCTTGATTTCCATCCTGAATATTATTAATAGGAAAAATACACACTCTTATGAATAATAATGAATATCATACATAATGAACAACTCTTATACTCACTTTGATCAATAGTGGTTTTATGTAATAATACCCTAACATTTGAAGCAATAAATACTGAGTTTTGTAAACGTCATCAACACTGAAGATTCAGGTGTATACCTAAAAAAAAGGGACAAAACCCATTTTATTTCTAAAATACTTTTCGACCTTGTTAATAAAAATACTATCAGTATAGGGTTGTGGGAATTATTAAGTTTTTGATTGAGATCATGAACTGATTGATGTTAGACCATGCCGTGATCAGTGGAGATAGGTATCTACTTCAGTACAATGGGAGTTGGTCGCTCAATTTCATGAATTGGTTAAGGCTAAACATTAACACCATTGGATGCTGGATCAGTGGTCTATAGAGGTTAAGCGTTCGCGCGCGAGACTGAAGGCCGTGAGTTCGAATCTCGCAAGCAGGATCGTCGATGTACACTACTGAGGAGTCTCATTCTAGGACAAATCGGCCGTCCAGTGTTTTCAGGTTTCCAATAGTGGTTTAACATCAGTCGGTTCATGATCTCAATCAAAAACTTAATAAAATATATTATTCAACATATTATTACATCATTCCTCATGATTTCATTTTTCTCTCTCTCTCTCTTTCTCTGATTTTCAGGTTTGGTATAATATAAATGTCAACTTAAAAGTATCACAAGCTAAACGTCATTTCTGTAATTTATTCAATATTACTAATCAACATGAAATTAAACATTTGAAATTATTTTATTTTGATCAAGTTATGTCACAAATTCAAGGTCCAGAAGAATTAAAATATCCAAATCGTAATTTATATTCATATCAAATAGAGACTGGTGATTTATTCGAATTAGTACGATATCCAGATTCTTGATAATGGAAAAATAGAACTTTTACAAAAGTACAATATGATATGAATGTTTGTGTGTGTGTGTATGTATGTATGTATGTATGTATGTATGTATGTAATTTTGTTAATCCTTTCTCTCTTTTTCTGTGCAACACGCCTGTTTGTATAATAGTTGTTGATTTGTTTGTTTTCATTGTCATCGATTTCCCCTCTCCCTCCTCTCTCTCTCTCTTACTCGTCAGTTTCCGTCTTTCCCCCATTTGTCATATTTACTCCCCATTCACAATATAATAGTGTATATTCATCCGTTCATTCATTCATTTGATCTTATTAATTGTGAAATAGTGGTTTATTGATTAAGTTGTTCCACTTTCAATCTTGTTCATTTTTTATTCATTTCCATTGGAGCAGCTGAATAGTATCATCGTTATCATCATTTTGAATCCCTTTATCTATTGAATACGGTTATCGGTTAAAGTTCTAAGTACTCGATTAGTGACTTATATTGTCTGTCTATGTCTATTTGTGAATGTATGTGTAAATATGTACTACATTATAATTGTTCTCTTATTACCTTTTATTTATTCATTCATACAAGATGTGATAGACTCCAAGTTTTTTTCTTCAATTCTATTGATTAGTTAGTATTTTTGACAAATCAATCATGATCATTTTCGATCATTTTGCTTTTAAGGTACAATGTTATGCATACATACTCAGTGTATATGTATGTGTGTGTATATGTGCTCTTCTGGCAGTTTTGTGATTTTTATTTTCCTGTTTTCTTTTGTTTGTTTTTGAGTTTATCTTTCTTTTTTTTCGTGTTATTTATTTGTTTGTTTATTTCCATACATCTTAATTCCTTGATGAATATAAATAAAGCGCTAAGAACAAGACATCCAAAATAAAATGAATTCATCATTATATTTCAAACTTTCTTTCTCATCAGCTGCAAACAACTTAAATTCGCATTGGGAATATCATTTTAAAGAGTTTCATATACCGTAATCAATGAAGTTTAGTTCGTTAGGTGATATAAATAATAAGAAAAGGAAACAACATGCTTAACATAATCGTAAAGTTTTCAGTATGGAGTTGTGGAAATTGTTGAATTCCCTTGAAATCATGAACTGATCTAAGTTACACCGCCACTGAAGACTTGAAAGCACTGGAAAGCCGTTAGAAAAGGTCGACCCTAAAAATGTCACACCTCACGGATTTCTGTCTCAGGCGGTAAGGCCTTTTGCATAACGGAGCTAACATGTTAAAAACTTCCCACAAAAAGGTTGTGCATAACCGGCCTCAAACAGTTGTCCCTTGAACTCTGGTCACGCTCCAAAGTCGTTAAGACCAACATTAATCCGACTTCCTTTTCGTGTTTCTCAAGAAATGCCTTTACACAGTATGGGCAACCGGAAAGTGACATTAGCCCTCATACCCGTAACAGCACACGAGGCCAAGTCGGCCACATTCAAATCCCTCCTACACCTCCAAATAAATCTTATCTCCACGACTAACCCTTCTCACGTTACTTCATCACCTTGCGCCGCTAATGCAAACAATCCGAGTACGTGGAACGTTATTCATGGTCTCCTGAAACCACGCTCTAAACTACATGTGCCAGCTTTTAACACCCGAACACAATGCCAAATAGGACAACGAGCTTCCTTAGCTAGGACTTAAGAACCTCGCACCATCGATGTGTGCTGCGTCTCCGAAACGCGCATACAGGATCGGAGTAGCGTCATTCATTTGACCTCACCATATCAAAATAAAGTACCATCTGGATTCACGCTTTGTGTATCTGGAAACCCTGCTTCTGCTTCCTGTGGCCTCTCTGGTGTAGGTATAGCATTGAGTCCTAGAGCATAACTAGCTCTCTTAGACTGGATCCCAGTAGATAGTCGTTTGTGCGCTGTCCGACTAAACAGAAGAGTAAGGACTCGGAAAGATAGGGACACTCGTCGTTGCCTCTTCGTCATCTCTGCCTCTTCTCCCACTGACCACAGCTCAGATGAGTTTTACAGAAAGCTTTCCGACCTCTTCCAAAAAGTTAGGTTCTGATGTATTAATAGTGGCTGGTGACTTTAATGCTCAAGTAGGTAAACTAAGCGAAAAGGAAAGACACCTGGATGGATCTTATGTTGTCGTCGCTCAAAGAACAGACAATGGCGATTGTCTGTTGCAGCTGTGCTCAGATAACCGCCTGTTTCTAGCAAATACTAAGTTTAAGCACAAGGAAAGACATCTTTTGACATGGCGACCCCTGAATTCGTCCCAACATTGGGCCCAACTAGACCACATCGCTATCAGCCACCGATGGAGGGGCTCGATATAAGACTTACTCGTTCTTGAGTACATGCTTAGATTAAGATCATAATCGAGTACGAGCGCGTATTCGTCTAGGTCTTACTGGATGTAGGAAAGAGGCTTCAAGGAAACCCCTTATGGTCCTACTTAATGATAGCCAAGCTAAGAATACATTTCAGGAACAACTAGGAAAACAGTTAGGCAGCCATGTAAGTGATGCCCACCCCGAGGCAGTGTGGAATGACATCCGAAAAGCTGTGGAAACAGCAGTGATATCTGCTAGTAAGGTAGACCATAAGGTTGGGGAGAAATAATGAATCTCAGCAGCATCTACCGCACTGATAGATGCTCGGAAACTCATTCCATCTGGCTCTGAACATGACGAAGAGCGGAGTCAGCTTAAGCGCAGGCTGATTAGAAGCCTACGGAATGACTGCGAACAGTGGTGGGTAGCGAAATCGAGAGGGATAGAAAAGACAGAGACAATAGGCAACAGCAGACAACTGTTCAGACTTGTCAAGGAGACCGGTAATGGGAACCCAACTGTTAGCGAAGTTATCTCGGAATAAGATGGACATATTATTCATTCTCAGTGCAGGAGATTGGATCGATGGGCAGAACGCTTTAGTGATCAGTTCAACTGACCTTCAGTTACATTTCGGTTTCCCACGATTTCCAGTCGACCTGAATGACAAATTGATGTAAGTCCTCCAAATTTTTACGAAGTTGGAAATGCTATAGGAAATCTGGAGCGAGGGAGAGCAGTAGGCCCTGACAGGTTTACCCCTGAGATTTTGAAGGATGGTGGTCCAGTATTAGCAGTGAGATTAACTGAGGTCTTAGGCAGAATCTGGGAACTGGACGTAATGCCAAATGACTGGTCTCAATCCTTAAACTGTGGCATTCTATGAGAAAGGACAAAAGTCCTCTTGTGGCAGTCGCAGAGGAATCAGTTTGACTAATATTGTCCAAAATATTAGCTTCAATAATACTTCGACGCCTAACTAAAGCTCGTGAAGAGCAGACATGAGAAAACCAGGTTGGTTTTCGATCTGGACGTGGCTGTATGGACCAGATATTCACACTACCTTAGGTCCTAGTACATAGGCATACATTCAGAAATCCCACAGCAGCAATATTTCTCGACCTTAAAGCGGTATTTGACTCTGTTGATCGTGAGGTTCTGTGGCAGTGTTTGTCACTGGAAGGAGTACAAAAAAATACATTAACCTTATAAAGGCTATCTACTCGAATACCACTGGCCCCTCGCAATGCAAAATGTTGTCTCAGATTTGGGTTGCATCGGACCCAGAACTACTGATAGGGGGTGAAGTAGTTGAGCGTACCAACCGCTTCACTCATCTTGGGAGTCACATCAGCCCTTGCGGTCTGGTGTGTGATGAAATGTCAGTACGAATACAGAAGTCTCGACTAGTTTTTGCCAACTTGCGTCGGCGAGATATCCGTCTATCAACCAAAAGACGGGTTTACTGCGCAGTAGGTACGCCGTAGTGTCGAAAAAGCTTCTATAGTGTGGGGCGAAAACTTGAAGATCTACGAAAGCCATCATTCAGAAGATACAAGTGTTTATTAACAACTGTCTACGCAAAATATTTCGGATCCGTCGGTCAGACACTATCAACAACAGCCGACTGTGAGAGAGAACAAACCAGATTGCAGCGGAGGAAGAAATCAGGAAGAAGCGCTGGAAGTGGATAGGACTCACATTGAGAAAAGCACTCAACTGTATCACAAGACAAGTCCTCACATGGAATCTTCAAGGCCAAAGGAGGAGAGGAAGATCAAATAACACATTACGCCGAGAAATGGAGACAGACATGAGAAGAATGAACAAGAATTGGATGGAACTAGAAAGGAAGGCCTAGAATAGAGTTGGTTGGAGAATGCTGGTCGGCGGCCTATGATCCATTGGGAGTAAGTAAGTTCGTTCCGTTCTACTTTGTGGCAGTGAAACATTGCCAGTAAGAGTAGAGGATATTCGTAGGTTACTAGTATTCGATCATAGGTGTCTTCGAAATATTGCTCGTATATCCTGGGACCATCGAGTAAGTAGTACAGTTGTTAGGAAACGGGTACTAGGTAAGGATGGAAAATCAATTGATGAAGTAGTGAGACTTCATCACTTGAGATGGCTGGGACACGTGTTACGTATGCCCAACGCCCGACTGTCTCGACGTGCGATGTTCAATGGTATAGGAGTAGGTTGGAAGAAAGGTAGGGACGGCCAGACCAAAACATGGTGCAAATCCATGAAGTCACTGACAAGTAGACTGAGCCATGTTGGTACGTGTAGACTACCTGGTTGGGATCCGCTAGATGATAGGAACCGATGGTTAGAGGTCCTGATTGACATGGCTCAGAATCTTTTGCAGTGGCGCAGGTGCATCCACTCTTTGTGTTCTCCCAAATTCTAATCTTCTGAATTCTTGCTGTCCCTTTCTTTTTTCTCCTTCTAAATTTATTTCATTGTATTATACTCTTTGAATAACATCTTCAATCCCTAATGTTTCCGATTACTGCTTATAGTCTTACTAACGCTACCACTACGGGATTTGAATCGACCACTGCATCTTTGTGCTAATGTGGTATGATAACTTGATACCAGGACGAAACGGCAGTCCAGTGCTCCCAGCTTTTCCATGGTGGTCTAGCTTCAATTGACTCATGATTTCAACTTGTGTAAAAAGTTTTCATCTTACATTGGTTTAAAAACCACTTGCAAAAACAAACATTGCCGTTGTCATATCAACCATCTTTTATGATATGTGAATAATAATATTCTACTTATAATGATCATATTTCCATTTCCATAATTCAATAAATAAAGCGTGAATATTAATTATCATAGTGTTATAGACTAGTTTTATTCCATTCAATTAGCATGGTGTGTATGTGTATGTGTGTGTGCTTGACTGTATCCATGTTGTGGTTGTCTACTCTTTTCTTTTTATAAAAAATGTTGAATCATTATTGCCTTTATATATAAAATTGTGAATGGAATATTTTCTTTGGTTGAATAATTATTCATTCAAATGTAACCCCCATTGGCTAATAAAATAAACCACGCCCGTATATGTTTATATATATATATCCATAGATGAGTCATGTATTAACTCCATTTATGGTCTTAAACAATTTGTTAATCAATATATGGGGTTGTGGAGATATTGTTGAGTTGAAATCGATATCATGAATAGATCAATAATGGACCACTATTTAGATAGAACCTGGAAACACTGGATGGACTGTTTCGTTTGAGATTGAAAGTCCTGGGCTTGAGTCCCGAGTGTATAAACATGTATGTATATTGATGAAGAGTCCCGTACTAGGACGAAACGGTCATCCAATGCTTCCAGGTTTTCAATGATGGTCTAGCTTTAATTGACTCATGATGTCAACTATTAAATTACTTTTTGATTGAGATCATGAACTGATTGATGCTAGATCACCATTAGAAACCTGGAAATATTGGACGGCTGTCTCGTCCTATTGTGGGACTCCACAGCAGTGCGTATCCACGATCCCGCTCACGGGCCTTCAGTCTCGCACGCGAACACGCAGTCTTTAGACCACTAAGCCGGCATCGAACA